CTGTGGGAGCGTACCGGTCTGAGGGAGGGGATCTGCGGCAGAAGGCGGTCTCGGAGATAACCGGGTCCTATGCCATGAAGCGCTTTAAAGGTGGTAACTAACACCTTAAAGCGCACCCGGAAGGCCACTGGCAACCAGTGCAGCTCGCGCAGTAGCGGTGTCACATGGGAGCGACGAGTCCCTCCCAACACCGCCCGCGACTGACTGCGACTTGCAGCTTCTTGGAAGCCTCTCCAGGGATTTTGCTTAGAAGAAGCTGGCTGGGAAAGGCAGAAACGGGGATCACGAGGGTGGGATGCTGCGACCGTCACGGATGTACAGCGGTTGGCAACGTCCAAACCGAGCAGCCCGACTTGCTCCCAGCTTCTCCTCCGACCCGCCCTCGACTCATTTTCCAGCTGTTGCTTCGATCCTGGGAAGAGCACAAAAGGCTCCCCGCACCCCTCCTTCCTCCCCTGAGCGATCTGGAAGTGGAAGTTGCAACCATCGAGTACTGCATTGCTAGAAAGGATGGGAGGCGAGGAGAAGATCAGAGCAACTTCCTCTTCTGGATCGCTCAGGGGAGGAAGGAGGCGTGCGTGGAGGCTTTTGTACTCTTCCCAGGGTCGAAGCAGCAGCTGGAAGGTGAGTTGAGGTCGGGTCGGAGGAGAAGCCGGGAGCAAGTCGGGCTGCTCGGGTTCGGACGTTGCCCACCACTGTACATCCGTGACGGTCGCAGCATCCCACCCTCATGATCCCTGTTTGTGACTTTCCCAGCCAGCTTCTCCTAAGCAAAATCCCTGGAGAGGCTTCCAAGAAGCTGCAAGTCGCAGTCACATGAACAGGAACAGACCCCCTTCCTGCCCCGCAACCCCACCTCTTGGCGCAGCCCAGCTCCCAGCGTTTTCAATTTAAATATTTAGTTCTTTTAAGGCAGTGTTTCTCAACCTTCCTAATGCCGCGACCCTTTAATACAGTTCCTCATGTTGTGGTGACCCCCCAACCCGTAAAATTAGTCCTTGACTTACAACAGTTTGCTTAGTGACTGTTCAAAGTTACAACGGCACTGAAGAAAGTGACATGACCATTTTCACACTTTCTCTCTCTTTCTCTCCCTCTGGTGGCGGCGGCAGGGATCCCCCACAGCTTGTGGCTTCTGCTGCGGTGCCCAGATCGGTTTCCCACTGTGCGGGCGTTGGAATGTTTGATTGGTACCGGAGCTCAATGAGCCCAGAGCAAGGGAGCAGACACCCCCGCCCACGGCTGTACCCCGAGTCACCATCAGATGCCTATCACGGGCAACCGGCCTGAGCTAACGAGGCGCCGGCGATCGCCTCGAGCAGCCGCTGCGGACCGAGACCGCGCTGCGCCCGACAGGCAGCGCGTAGTGGCCAATGAGTGCTGGGCGGGGGTGGCTATTGAGTGTGCGGCACCATTGTGGCCACTTCGATCGGTATCGGGAGTGGGGAGCGGAGAGCTGAGCTCTGCGAGCCTGGAGCAAGGGAGCAGCCGTTCGGTGCGGTGGCAGGCAGGTCCAGGCGCTCCTGGGCGGCCATGGCAAGCGACGGCACAGGCCGACCACCAGCTGGGCCACCAGCTGGCCCAGCCCAAGGGAGGTAAGCCACCCGCTGGGCCCCATGCGCGCCAGCTACCCTCCCAGCGCCCGCCGCTGCCCCGCTAGCCTCACCTTGGCCACCGCCTGTTCGGTGTGGTGGCAGGCAGGCCCAGGCGCTCCTGGGCGGCCATGGCAAGCGGCAGCGACGGCGCAGGCCGACCACCAGCTGGGCCACCAGCTGACCCAGCCCAAGGGAGGTAAGCCATCCGCCGGGCCCCACGCGCGCCAGCTACCCTCCCAGCACCCGCCGCTGCCCCGCTAGCCTCACCTTGGCCACCGCCAGTTCAGTGCGGCGGCAGGCAGGCCCAGGCGCTCCTGGGCGGCCCTCCCACCCCTGGCCCTCTTTTACTTACATTTAGTAGTTGCTCAGCAGGGAGGGGTGGAAACTTCCAGAAAGTTTCAGAAACTTTCCAGAAAGCCAATAGAATTAGACTCTATTCAAGATAGTCTATTCTATTGGCGTTCGAAAGCCAATAGAATCTATTGGCTTTCGAACATCAATAGAATAGACCAGTGGTTCTCAACCTGTGGGTCGGGACCCCATTTGGGGTCGATCGACCATTTCATGGGGGTTGCCAAGCAAGGCTGTCCACCATTTTTTTTTGTCTGCCATTTTTTTTGTCCGCCATTTTTTTCCCCCTTTTCCGGTGGGTGCCTTACCTCCCTTGGGCTGGGCCAGCTGGTGGTCGGCCTGCTCCGTCTCTGCCGCTTGCCAGCTATGCCTCGGCCGGCGCAGGGGGCGGAACCACGCATGCGCAGCGCTCCCGGGCAGGGAAAGTCCTCGACTTACGACCAGTTGGGTAGTTCTCGACTTACGACCGGTTTAGTCCTCGACTTACGACCGGTTTAGTCCTCAACTTACGACCGGTTTAGTCCTCGACTTACGACCGGTTGGGGTCGCGGCATTAAAAAGGTTGAGAACCACTGGAATAGACTCTCTTGAATAGAGTCTATTCTATTGGCTTTCAAAAGCCAATAGAATAAGAGGGAGTAGCACAGCTCATGAAAATGGGGAAAAAAACCCCAAAAAACTGCCGGACTGCGTTTCATAAGGATTCTATGAGGAAAAACTCCAGGACTTTGGCGACCCGTGAAATGGTCGTTCGACCCCAAAAGGGGTCGTGACCCACAGGTTGAGAACCACTGTTTTCAGGTCTGAATAATCTACCTTAAAAAAGAAGCTTTCCACTGTTTTTTACAAACAGCTTTCGAAAGACATCAAGGGGGTTGTGTGATAATATTCAGAAAGAAAACAAAATTTCAGGTCAAGGGACAGGCCTGGGAGCATTTGGGGGACAGGCCTGCAGGGCATTTGGGGGAACAGAGACTGGTCTGCAGAAGAGCCAGTTTATTGATTGGGCTGCAGAGAGGCTTCAGTTGTTGGACTAAAATGCTGCATGGAGAGTTTGTATTTAGATGATAGCACTCTTTCAAAATTGGAGGGACTGTCACATAGAAGAGGGGATTGACCTGGGCGCCAAAGTGTCATAGAGCAGAACAAGAGGTAACAGATGCAGACTTATCAAAAAGAAATCCAAGCTAGAATTAGGAGAAAGTTCCTGTCAGTGAGAACAATTAATGAAACAGCTTGCCTCCAGACATTGTGGGTGTTTCATCACTGGAGGTTTTTAAGAAGAGATTGGACAGCCATTTGTCCAGCTATTTGTCCAGGGGATTGGACTAGAAGACCTCTGAGGTCCCTTTCAACTCTCATTATTCTCTTGTGGACCTGCTGTTTTCTTGGCACCAATATCAGACTGAAACTGCCACTATTTTATCGTGGATTTTTATTTTTTTACTTCTATTTATGGCTAACAAGCACGGTATCTCCTACTGGCACCCCATACGTGTATTAATGAGGTTCAACTGTGCTTAAGCCAGCACTTATGAAAGAATACCTATGGAAGACCTTTCAGGATGTTCAGTTGTATAAGTAGTCCTCATTTACCACTTCTTCATTGGGCCTATGATTATGAAAATGCAGGAAAAGGGAATTGCACCAATTTGGATGTTGCCAATTCATGCACATTTATGGTGGCTGCAGTATCCCACATTCATGATCCCCATCTGTAACCTTCCCAGCTAGCTTCTTACAAGCAAAATCAGTGGGTATACCGGCAGCAAATTGCAAGCCACAGTCATGTGAAATTCCCTTTAACGACCCATGG